GCGCAGGGCTCCCCGTTCCGTCTCCCCTGAGGCCGCTGCTTGCCGAGTCCCTCAGTCGCGGCCTGCAGCGCCTCGCTCGCTCCTCTCCCGGCCCGGCCGCTCTCTGTGCCCGGTCCTGCCCTGAGTGTTGCTCATTTCGCGAGTCACTAGCAGCCAGGCAAGTGTTGTGCACTCGCGTGCCGCCGTTGCCTTCCCCGGCTCTCCTATGTGTTGGGTCAGAGATTTTTGTCATGAAGCTTTTTGTGCTACGTACAAAACAGTTTTTCTCAAAAGGGACAACTTGTACAGAGCGATTTCTATTTAGTGGACACGTGCAGACGTAGTGGTGAAATGCATGTTTACATTTGGAAGTTCGGTATTTTCTCTTTTTTTCTCTCCTTTATTTTTTCTATTTGTGTCATTTTGGTATCTTCAAAAGTATCTTTGCAAATAGTTTTTGCACATGTTTACCAGTGTTTTAATATTATGTATTATTTTAGCATATGCACGTTCCTAATGGAATGCAGTATGTGGACTTGCTCTGAAAATGGTGCTGAAGAAGACCTGCTTGAAGATGTACAGTTGTTAGAGAATCAGCTGAGGAGAGCTGAAAAAATCCTACAGACTGTAGAGAAAGACCTTTCCAGGTGTGTGTGTTTGGGAATGAGGACTGCCTGTCTCTTGTAGTGTGACTCTGTTTTATTCATTTAAGTTTAATGGATTAGTGCAATTAGCTCCTTTTGTATTTTTTCATTTGAATAGTCTTTATGAGCAATTTATGTAAAAAAAAAAGAAGTAGTAACTTCTTATTCTCCCTCCTATCCCTAGCACAAATGAACATTATGGCCACTGCTTCAATGAGGCCATAGACTTCACTCTGGAGGACTTTGTGCAGGCTAGTTACAGCTGTCAGGAGAAGAAGAATGCTGGTAAAACATCTCGCCAGGATATTCAAAGGAAATCCAAAGTAAATATTGTTCTTCATTACTTTGGTTTTCTATTCTTTGCTGTGTTTTTGAACATTGTTTTTTGCTTTTAGGGCTCAGAGTTGAGATACATTGGACAATTATATCAGTGGAGCACTCTTAAGCATAATATGATTTAAATGCATTTCTTCTGCCAAGTTTCCATTGCAGCCTTTCAGCACTTGAAGGAAGTCTATAAGAAAGATGAGGACAAAGTTTTTAGCAGGGCCTGGTGTGACAGGACAAGGGGGAATGATTTTAAACTGAAGGAGGGTTGACTTATGTTAGATATATCAAATAAGTTTTTTACTATGAGGGTGATCCAACACTGGAACAGGTTGCCCAGAGACGTGGTAGATCCCCCATCCTTGGAAACACTCAAGGTGAGGATGGACAGGGCTCCAAACAAGTTGATCTAGAATTTGTCCCTTTTCATTGTAAGGTGGTTGGTCTAGATGACCTTTGAAGGTCCCTTTCAACCCAAACTATTTATGATTCTATGATGTACATATTGCTTATGTATGCATATATAAGTGTGTATATATATAAGCCTATTTTTGTGCCTAGTCTTACTCAGTATCCACAACTTTGGATAAAGCTGTGGAAGAAAATGGACATCTTCAAGAGAAGCTGGATGCCTTTCAAGGACAAAATGCATCTTGGACCTCTCAGAGCCACTACCTAAAGAACAGCGTGGAAGTACTGAACTTTGAATTGATGCAGTTGAAAACAAAAGTATGTATATTTAGTGTATTTATCAAAAAGAAATACACACTCCAAACCCCCCAAAGCACCCTAATGACCATGATTTTTGAGTTTATAATTCCAAGAAGGATATGTTATGTTTTTGCCTTATCTTAATCTAAGTTTAATATTTAAAGTTTTTTGCTCTGTTTTTTTTCCCCTCATAATATTCAGCATCAGTCTTGGACAGAACAGCTTGGAATCTATTTCTCCACAAGCAAAACAACTATATTAATTATGAATTGTATCTATTCATCTTCCATAGTTCAGTGTAAAGCCAGTCAACCACAGAATGAAAAATATATTATGAAAGAAAATCATTCAGTGATGTATTTAGTACATTTAGTACATATTTAATGTACATTCATGTGTCTGTGCTACACTGAGATTCATGTGAATAATAATGGCAGAGTAGTCCCTTGTCTAGGAAAGAAGGTGAGTTAGAAGAAAGTATTGTACATAATAAATCGTTGCTTATTTAGAATATACTTGTCTATACAGTTTTGTTTCAGGACAACTAGATTCTTGTATTTGGTTTATATGTAATATTAGTAAAACATAGCTATGCTTAGTGCTTTTTGTTTGAGAAATGTTATCTCCAAGGCAGTACAAATAAGTACATAAACAAAATGTTTGACTGCCTGGCACCAAAAGAACAAATAGTTGCATATAAACATTTGGGGAAGAGCAAGAGACAAGATCAACATATAAAGAAATCACTCTGCTGGACAGCATATCCCACAGAATGGTGCTAGGGAACTGGAAGGATGTTAAATGAGCACAAGATTGGAGGTCAGTTGGTGGAGATGGAAAAAACGTAATTTACAGTAAGGTTAAGAGCACTGTCATTCAGTAAACAGATTGTTCTTGTGTGTCTCACCTGAAACCCCAAACATGTCTGTGTTCCAGATCTCGTATCTTGAATCCACTTCAGGCTCACATCCAGTCAGCATTCCGAAGCTGCAAGAACAGATGCTAACCTTGGAAGCAGAAGTTTCAGCTCAGGATAAAATTCTGATGTAATAAGTGTGCTTTAAATCAACATTTCCCTTTCCTCTTGCCTCCTTTAACCTAATGGCTCTGTGGCTACTGGGAGGGTTAGGTAATTTCTTTTAACTGTTGGAAGTTACCATATACAGTCCTATCACCTCCAAAATGTAATTTTAAAGAAGTGAGAGGAATAAATAAAACAATTCTTACCTGCCCTATTCATTTAACTGCATTATCTGGGGTGAAAATTAACTGAATGAATGACTAGGGAAAGCATTTTCTGAACCTTTTGAATGCAGACTCTTTGTTTGGCTTGTGTATCTACCCATGAAATTACCTCTAACCTTCCTAGAGCTGGACAAACAAACACTGTGGGGTTTGCACTGCTGTTTAAAGAAATGTGGTGCTTTATGACCACTGTTCATTCAAAGCATGTGGGATTGGAACTGGCTGTACTTAGTTACTAGTCACAAACGTAAATATTTTGGTACTTCAGAAGAGCAGAGCTTCTGCCAGGTGTTAAAGGCAACATACAGTGTTATGGCTGGTATTAACAATTGTTATAGTTTTCTTTTAATCATGATTTGCAGCAACTTATTCTTTGGCCAAGCAAACTGAAGTGCTTTAGACTTAACACTTTTTCGTTATTCTGGAATCCTTTTATCCCTTTCTCTGAATACTTTTGCCATCTCCAGATGGGCAGTGGTCCTCAGACTGAGGAACACTGATCCTAGGGTTGGTTATACCTAGATGAGGCACTGCCCTGTGTCCACAGCTCCCTTAGTGGAAGAGAGAAATGTTACTGAGCAGCAGGAAGGAATTCTTCCTGTGTTGGGTGTCCTGAATACGTAACATACCTGAGCTGCCCTGAGGTTACTGTTCAGCTCCTTCCCTAGTGAGCAACAATAGGGGAAAGTAAGAAAGGGGCAGAGATGTGTACTGATGGAAGGATATAGTAGGGAGTCTGAGTTGCTGCTTTGAACAGTCTCTCATGTGATATCTAGGGCTTGGAAAGCTGGAAGAAGAAAAGAAGTAGTGTCCTGAATACGTAACATACCTGAGCTGCCCTGAGGTTACTGTTCAGCTCCTTCCCTAGTGAGCAACAATAGGGGAAAGTAAGAAAGGGGCAGAGATGTGTACTGATGGAAGGATATAGTAGGGAGTCTGAGTTGCTGCTTTGAACAGTCTCTCATGTGATATCTAGGGCTTGGAAAGCTGGAAGAAGAAAAGAAGTACCTGGGGCAATTTAGTAATTGGTTTTATTAACTGGAGGAGATAGTAACATAATGGCTGGAATTTGTGGGATTTAAAATTGGTTCGTTTCTTTTGCTTTGCAGAGCAGTACAGCAAAGAAATGAAGCTTTGTTGAACGCAGGGGAGCTGAGAAGAGCTTTCAAAAGGTATAAAGCAGAAATAGCTGAAAAATTAGCAAAGGTGAGTTTTCTCTTTATTTGTTTTTGCCCATACTATTTAGATTTTTCCAATAAGCTAGGCAGCTAACAGCAACAGGTTCACCAGTGAGGCAGTTGCTTCTGCTTGTTGGTGGCAAAGTCCTAAAAGAGGTTTTACACTGTCTTTGCACAGTCTGGACAGTCTTTGTCTTTGAAGCATCCTGATATTGCTGCTGTTTCTTCTGTCTCCTGCTTGCCAACTGGGAATTGTACATTTTAAACATGTAAGATCCTTTTAAAAGAACTCTTTTGACTCCTTATGTATAACCTATTCAATGAAACATGAGCTAGAGAACAGCTAAGATGAAAATCAAGCCATCCCTTAAAGTGATCAAAAGTGTTAATGCTTCCTGCCTTGTGGGCCCAAGACAGTTAGCTCTTACAGAAAATTGGTTTTTTATTAGTCTACTTTCCTTGTGGAAGGAGATTGCCAACCACAAATATTAAAGTGTTTTTTTTCCCAAATGACAGAAAAAGAAAGCTTCTTTGCCCCTTTCATTTTCTTAAAAAAAAAAGAGGCATAGCATTTATAGTACTCTTTTTTTTAAAAATAGCCTATTGGCTGTGGAAGCTTAATTTACTGTTGTACAAAATTTTTAAAAAAACTTGCTTTTCAAGGTGAAAGCCGAAGAAGTCATCTTGGGAAAACGTTTAATTAATTGTGAAAAAGAGAAAGAGAAGATGAATGAAAAGTGTATCGGCTACAGAAAGAATCTAGACATCCTAGAAGAGCAACTAAGGTAATGGAAAGGCTTTTAAAAATCTCTGTACAGTTGTTTGAGAAGAAATTGCATGTCATTGTGAACGTGTTGCTCAAATCATGTAGTTCAAACCAAATCCAGACCAGCACCAGTGAATACTCGGGATCATTAACAGCAATGCAACAGACAAACCATAACACTGAACAGGTTAAAAATGTTAGCATGCGCTTGTATGATCTCTACATTATTTTCTATAACTAATCCTTAAACATTTTAGTCCCACACACAACCACACATTCAGAGGAAGCTGCCACCCCCACCCAGCTGCCTTGGTTGCTCACTGCTGCTGTGGGCCACGTGGGTGCTCTGGTTGCATGTGTGCCTGTTCTTTTGCTAATGCACCTGAGAGTGAGAACACACCCTGTGACTTCACTTACACTGCCATGTGCGAGTCCCTACTTGCACACCACGTTGTCAGTCCCTAGCTAGAATGAAGGATACTCTTGGCATCCAGTGGGGATTCTGCACTCAGGCCTCAGTGGAGGTTGTGATGTTGACTGCAGCTTCTGGAACAGTTCAGCCTGGTTTGGATTGCTCTCTGTCCCCACTCCAAGGTCCTTTCCCAGTGTTACCATTTTTTATGCTCTTTGTATGTTTCATTTCAAGGTGAACCCCTTTTTTTTCAGAAGTCCTTTGGTGATTCCTTCATTACTTTAAACAGGGAAGACAACCATCAGCTTTAGCATTACTAGGTTTGGACAAACACCTTCACAGACAGTTTGGGGTATTCTATTCACATGTGCTGTCCACATTCACATTTCTGTCCTAACAGTTGTTCTTTGGGCCATTTGGGAGAGAGTGAGCAGTGGGTGAACACCCTTATGCCACCCTGAGCCTGCTTAATAGGTCTCTGCTGCTGGTGGGGACTTCTTCTCTACTATCCTCTTTTTTAATATGTTACACTGGGTTTGGGACTCATCAGGGCCTTTGCTGAGCCAATTCAGCTTGGTAAACCAACAGGTCCTTAAAGTAAATTTGAGATGGGCTATAAATGCAATTGTCTCAGTGTACCATCAGCTATGAAGGCAGAAACAGGACCACTCCCTCTCTTGTTAGTAGCAGAATGATAGAGTTGTTCAGTCTTACTATCTTCATCCATTGTGATTTTACATATTGTTCTATAGCTATTTTATCCTGTTATTAAATTTCCCTGGGTTCAGCACAGTTAAAACCATTTGGTCTCTTTCCTACCAGTGACTTTCCTGATAGTGCTCAAAACTATTGAGTCGCTTAAGAATGAGTAGTAGTTGATTCTCTCCTTTTGTTTGCTGATCGCACTTTACATCTTGGTCCTTAAGAACAGTGAAAGCTTAGTAAAGCAGTGAAAACTCTTCTGTCCTTTGTGTAGAGCTAAGCCTAGATTTTGAGAGGGAGGAAACTAGTAAAATAGTACAGATATGGTGTGTTCTTCTAGTACTTCCAATAACAAAACCCCTCTATGTTGAGCTATACCTTTTTAAATGCCTTTTTAGGCAATTGAAGGAAGAGAATCGTAGCACAAAAGAAGAAATTAAGACTCTAGAGGCGAAGAACATTGAAATGACATCAATGCTGAGTCAGTCCGATCAGAAGATCATCAAGCTTGAGAGTGAACTTTCTGAAAAAGAAGTATTACTTAAAGAGAAAAATACTCTACTAAGTGAAAACACAGAGCTGAGAGCACTTACGGCACAGCAACGTAACCGCTTGGAATTATGTCATCAAGAAATTGAGGATTCAAAGAAAGAGCTCAACATACTAGAAACCATTATTTCTCAGCTGTCTTCAAGTATATCTGAAGAGGTACAGTAACCAATACAGCCTTGAAAGTGTATTATGTATTGAATAACTTTAATGCCAAGCTATCCAAGCTTTTAACATCCTGGTGCATGTGTCTTAAAATTGATGTTCTAGTATAACACATGAATTAATCATGCTGTGAAGCTATATAAAGTTGATTTTTCATTGATTTCTTTTTTTTTCCCCTTAACTTTTAGTTTAAATGGCACGATTTCAAACACCTGCTATTGAGTTCCTCAATGAGAGAAGCTCTGTCTGAATCTTGTGGTGAATCGAGTAAACCTTTGATTACAGACCTAAGGTATAACTTTCTGGTTACTGAATTGTGGCAAGAATAGGCAGATAATAAGGTGGTATTAAAACTAGCATGTAGAAAGAATGTTAAATAGTTGTCTCTTCCTTTATAATAGCATTAAACTGGCAACGAAAGAAGCAGAAATTCAAAAGCCTCGTGCAGACTTAACTGTATGTGCCAAAGTTCAGCATCTTTCTAATGATGCTGAAGGACAAGAAAATAGCAGATTATGTGACCTGGAAACAGAGCCTGTCAAATTGATTAGAAGTCAAGGAGGTAAGCTTGCTGAAATAGCTCTGCAGTTCTGTCTAATGAATCCACAGAACAAATTCTTTGGTGGGATTGAAATTTTTTTTATAGTGTATTTTTTAAATGTGTCTCCATGATCTAACAGATATGACTTGGTTGAACATGGAGCATTTTGCCACCTTGGAAACTGCCATGTTCTCCAGCACAATATTATTCTTTATTTTCCTAGTTAAGTTACTTGTTCAGTAATAGCCAAGCTAGGAATTGTGTTGAAATGGAACCATGCTCTGTTTTCTCTATGCAGGTTATACTAATGTCTCCATATTTTGGGTTGATTCTTTTCTCTGTGTCGTGCTGTTGCAATATTTCTGCGATCACTTCTGTGATTACTATTAGGAACTCTCCATGAAATTACCTCAGGGCACCTATATAACGATGCGGTCTTAACTTTTTTTTTTTGTTTGTTGGCTTTTTGTTGGGTTTGTTTGTTTTCATGAGTCATTGCTTTCAGTTACTTTATGGCTTTGTATGTTCGTTTATAAATTAATCTTAAATTTATTTTTTCTACTCGGAGAGAGGAGGAAATGTCAACAGTTGGAACTTATAAGCAAACAATTTGAAAAGGTGAGGCAAAGATTCCAGAAAGAGATAGAAGAGTTACGCACTAAACTGACAAAAGCAGATGATGAGAATTCTTCTTTGAAGACCAGCATGGCTCAAAGAGCCAGTCAGTTTCAAGAGATACAGGAAGACCTGATGAAGAAGGCTTCAAAAACTAGTAGCTTAGAGAGAGAAGTAAGTTTTTAGTAGCATTGAAAAAAAAGTCACTTATTCTTTAGTTCAGTATTCAAAGAAATTTAAGACAATAGTTACAGAAAAACTGCAATTGCCATATTAATTTTAAAATCTGAGTTATTTAAGTAAAATTTGAAATTAACTTTTAAGCAAGGAGAATAATTTCTTAATTTGTTAGTTGTCAGAAATCCTGTTTTAAAGCTGATGTAGTTAGTGGACTTTTCTGTTACTGTTTTGATTTGTTATGTGGAAAATATGCACAGTCTTTGCTTTGGTATGATTGAATTGATGTGTACTCTTAGGGAACTGATGTTGAAGGAACAGTTGTATCTTTCCTCATTAAATGTTAGTACAATTGCCAGGGATTAACATCATTACCAGAGAGTCACCAAGGAAAGAAGTAAAGCTTCAATTCTTCTCAGGTTAAATAAGTTAGATGCTAATGTTCACATTGTGGTGCTAATGTGTCTCTAGAGCTCAGAATAATGGGATTTGCAGTATTCCCTAAAAATGGACATAAATATTATAAATCTGTAATACCTAATTCACTGATGATTATAATTAGTTGGATTAATTTTAGGTAAATTGACCTGACTCTATCTCTGTAAGTAATCAAGTTTAATAAATCAACAAAAATTAACAAATAATTAGTTAAAAATACCATGGTAGTAGCTAGAATGGAATTGGTGATAAGAGAGTATATACAAACACTTGAATAAACCTGAAGCAGTTGTCTGTTTTGTGCCATATTTAATTTCAGGTAAGAAAGAAATCTTCTCAGATTTCTGCACTTGAGAAACAGTTGGAAGAAAAGACTATTGTTTATTCCACTGCTGCAGCAAGAAATGCTGAGTTGGAACAGGAACTCATGGTAAAATGTTCTCACTGAGAAACTACATTTGTATAAAAAGACATAAATGGAGATTAAAGTTTAATTTAGCAGTAGTATTCCATGTATTCACAATGGATAGACTTTCAGATCTGTTAAATAATCCGCAGTTTTTCGGCAGAGCTGTTTTTAAAAACCAAATCTTGCTTCAAATAAAACATCCCTTTTCCCTGCCTTTGAGTGTGGTAACTTATTAATGGACATGTTACCTTTTCCTTGTGATGATATGTGCAATCAAGATCTGGTCCTATTGAAATCAGTTGTAGCAGTGAAATACATACAGACCTATGAATAAAAAAGGCTTCAAAATGGTAATAAGTGAAGAGGGTGATCTAACACTTGGAGCACTGCAATTTCCAGTCTGAGTGTTGTTATACCAACTTTTTTTAGGTTTTTGTAAGGGTGTAAGGTTGCCAGAAAAGGAAACTAATTTTGTAGATTCCATCTAACCATGTGAGCATAGAATTTCTTTTTGCCTTTTTCAGAAGTTATCTGTGCCATAGTGCACCTTGGCAGACACCTTCTCTCTGTAGTGGCTGCATTCACTGACATTCCATGCCTGTGTGTAGGTGTGACATCCTCTGAGATGACACATGCTGGGTGTAATTTGAGTATTTTCCATATTGTTCCTTTCCAAAATCTAGAAAATAGATGATCAGGTAAACCACTATTTAATAGTACAGGTACATATTTTTATTAAGTCCTTTTTGTTGTTGCCATTTCCCAGGATAAAACCAGATGCATTCATGAGTTGGAAGAAACGATCAGTGAAGAACGTGAGAAAATAACTAATAGTTTTGAAAGTGCAAAGTTGATCCACTTTGAGCAGCACAAAGAGATGAAGAAACGGCTTGAACTAGTAAGACCTTCCTTGTGTGCTATTATGTATGAGTGTTATACTTGGTTACTTCTTTCTATGTTAATTTCTTTGTCTTTGTAGTAATTCTAAGACACATGTCCATTAAAAAAAGGTTTATTGAAAATTTCCTGATTGTAGTACTTTATCCATCTAACACTATACAACTTTCCCTCTGAAATATTCATATCCTCTTTTCTGCTCAGCTGAGGAGAAATAAGGACTTAGGATAAGTACTGTTGTTCTTTGCTCCAAACAACTAGCAAACCCAAAATACAGCTTTTTGGCTCCTGTTGTTAAAGCATGACAGCTTCTAACCATGTGCTCTCACTGGCTGACCCTCTGCCAGCCTGAGCCTTATGGGCATCTGTGTTCAGGGAGAGCTGTTGGTAGGTTTTTCAGTCTTTAGAGAAGAATTCTGTTGCTTTATGTGATTAGAAATATAACTGTAGTTACATCTAGCTGTTCCAGAACCTTGTCATCTTTTACTGAAGAACGTACTCATGTCTTACTGTCTTGGCTAATTACAGACAATTAGACTTCATTGTCTTGAATAACCTCTTGCTTTAAGATACTAAGTGTTTGGGATTTCTTGATAACTTTAAGACTGTTCTATAATGCTGATGGCAGGATGTATTTACTTTTCATTCTAAAAGTGATGGGTGAATAGAACTGAATGACATATTTAGATGCACAAATTCTTATTAAAATAATAAACGGTGAATTATTTACGGACAGCTTCGAATGCAGCTGGAGAAGAAACATCAACAGTGCATTGAACAAGAAAAAATAATAGCCATTTTGCAACAAGAGGTTATACATAAACAGCATCACATTGAATCATTGGATGGGCTGCTGACAGGATGCAGAGAGGTAAGGCTGGCTCTTCTTTAAATGCAAATCAAACAAGTGGCTAATAATGTAAAGTATATCCACAAATAAATGGGAAAAAATGGAGTAAATGAAAGATCCTTATGTTTTTGTTTCTTAATTCTTATTTGAGTAATTGAATCTAGTGTAGTCCTCAGTTACTGCTGCTCCCACTACCATCTCTTGTACAAGCTTTAATGACCTTTCCTTATTTTCTGTCTCAGCGTTGTCCTTATGCCTCTGGTTTGTCCCTTGGGCTTCTTGCTCTAGTCAAAGGGAAGAGATCTGGATGAAGAACAATTGCATCTATTCTGCCCTAAGTGGAAAACCAAGAATGTTCTAGTATGATAATGTTTTATTCCTTTCAACAATGCTTGCTGCTGCAGATCTGAAGGGACATCTGTCAGGAACCAAATTCACTTCAGGTTATCATGTACACAAATACATTTTGCAAGCAATTGTTTTTTAAATACACTGCTTTATTTTTTTTCCTGTCTTAAGTAAATATTTCAGAAGTCGTTGACTTAAAGTATTTATGTTTTTCTTCTGTTGTTTCTTTTCATTTTGCTTTAACTTAAAGTAGTATGGTGAAACCTGCTGCAGTAAGAGATTATGCAATGCTTAATTGCTTCAGAGAATTACTGTAGTTACAAACAGGACAGACTTCTGCTTATTGTACTCTTAAAATACAACACTGCCTGACAGAGCTAATGTTATGTATGTTTTCGTACCAGATATGGCATATATTTTAGATATAAAAGTACTATAATATTGACCATGTGCTTGCCTGATTTGGGTTTGCCTATGCAGCACTTGCAACAGTATTTTAACAAACCTGTGCCATGTGGTGATTTACCCCAGTGAGGTTTCAAACAGTATTAAATCTTCAGGATATGGGTAGGAGAAGATACTGGGGAGTCAGCTGTTGGCATGCTCTTCTGAGCTTCTGTTGGAACAATTTTCTATACAAGTGACTGTAATATTTGGTACATTATCTAGAGATTTAAAATTAAGACCCACTATAATTTCTCTTCAAAAAGCTCTTGAATCGGGTGGGGAGAGAGATATACAGTCCAGTATGGTGTAGAAAACTAGTAGTCTGGTTGCAAAGGTGAAAGCATTAGGCAGTTTGCAGCTAAATTCAGCATAGTTTCCATTGATGGAAAGTCTTAGCACTGAAACCAGAAGGATAAGAAAAGCTTAATTACTATGGCTTAATGTCTCTGGGGGTTTGTTCGTCGTATTTTTTATCAGTTTGAGTTTATAAGATATTTGTTAGAGATTACTCAAATCCAAATTAATATTAAAAGGGTAAAAGGGATTAGCAGTGTGGACACTGTTTGCAGCTCTTCCTTTCCCTTTTGGTGGAACTCAGGCACTGTCTCCCAGTGCAGAAAAGAAAAACATACTGTTCAGATAAACTTTCTGAAAAGAAATGTATGAAGATCTGAGTGTTATTTGTGGAAAAACATGTGTGTCAACTCACACATGATGATAATGCTGAATTTATTTAGACAGTTCTATATGTAATAAAATGTGATGGATTCATGAGTTGTATCGGGCATGTTTGGTTTTAAAATCTAGCTACTAACAAATACTGGAATATCATCTCTCAACTGATAGTTTCATCTGATTTAGACACAGTCTAAAGTATTGTGATTGAAGTTCACAAATAATCTTAATTTCTGAATACTGTTTCAATTTTAAAGTTTATCATAATTTTCCATTACTGTTTTAATATACTTTAGAGAAAAATGTAATTTTTGGGACACTTTGCACAGAGATGTCTCTTAACACAATTTTTAGACTAGTTAATACAAGCCATGCCATGCAATTTTAAGTGATCTATTGCATTCAACTAGGTACAACAACTAGAGTCAGCACTAAATGTATGTAAGGAAGAAGTTGCACTGTATTTGAGGCAGTCACAAGAAAATAAAGAGATGTTTGAAAATCTGCTCCAAGAAAAGTCTGAAGAGGTAACAGCTTGTTTTATAACTCTCCTGTATTGCAGAGGACACTTGTTATGATTTTGTGGAGTAACAGCCAAAACATTTGCAACAGGAACTGTGAATAGGAGATAAACTGTGAAAAGACAATACATTTTGTGAGGGTAAAGAGGAAAATCATAACTAAGAAACACTGGACAAGCTTAGGGAAAAGAAGTACCGAGATAAATGAACAGTTGAAAGAAGTACCACAATCAGAATTATGTGAAACAAAGCATTATCTTGGAAAATAAATGGAGGGAGCACTCTTGAAATATGAATTTAGTGCAGATAACTGATTTGTTTTTCAGCTGTCTTAATGGACAAGTCCTGGGCGTAAGAAAATGTTTATTTTAAGCCCATGAGTTTTATCATACTTTCCACTACTACATGAAAGCAAGAAAGAGCTAAGTTTAAATATTAGTATGAGTTTTTTTTGTAGGTATGTCTAACCACATGAACTAATGATATATTAGGCTGTTCTTGTCAGTGCTGAGAGAAAGGCTTTAGTCAAATGGAAATTGCTAGACCCTGTGCAGAGTAACTTGGTGGAAATCTGTGGTCTGTGTTAGACACAAACCTGTGGTATTTACTGCTGATTTCTCAGCCCTAAAATTGCTTACTCTTACTCACCATATGAAGAGATTGGATGCTGTGTGAAAGTCAAGTGTAGCAAGTGAGACTTTGTAATTGTGACCACTGTTTGCATAAGTAAGTTAGAGTCACCACTTCAGTCACTGCTTCCTCTTTGGAGTGAGCCATTAGTGATTGCTTTTTGGTTTAATTTTTAAAGAAGAATGCTTCCTTTTTTTTTTGTTTGTTTGGTTTGGTTTGTGTTTTTTGTTTGTTTGGTTTGGTTTTTGTTTTTTGTTTGCTTGTTCCCAAGAACAGTTCCCCTTGGCATTCATCACAGAAATCAGACTATTTGACATATGACAAGTTAGACACTCAAAATGCCTGTTTTTCATTGGAATTACTATTGTCATAGAGGCAGGAAGAAATAAAGGGGGGGGCTGAGAACAAAATCTCAAGGGGATAACAAGGACTTTCTGAGAAATAAAGACTGACAGAAATTAGTTCAGTGGTTTAGAAATGAAAAATCTGTAATAAATGTTTTTTAAATATTGACAAATTGTACTTAGAAAGCAAGGAGTAAAAAACTCAGGTCATAAGTTACTACTTTCCTCACTTTATAAAGCACAACTCAGTGAAGAATTATGAGGTCTGTTATGTTCTGTGCAAACTGTAATGCAACTAAATTCAGAGCCAGAAGTTTTATTGAATCATAAGTGTAATTCTGTGCTCATTAAGAGTAAAGAGAATAGCTGATGTAAATGCAAATAAAAGTGTTGTATTGTAAAGGAAAATAATTGTCTTTTCAGCTTCATTGTTTACAGAAAGACATCAAAATAAAAGGTCAGAATATTCAGGACATGCATAAACAAAATATTATCCTACAACAAACTTTGCATCATCATCAGCAAATGTTACAGCAAGAAACTATCAGAAATGGGGAGCTGGAAGATAATCAAATTAAACTTGAAAAACAGGTACAGTATGGTGAGAAGTATCTACATAAAGGCAGAAAATTAAATATATTTTTGTGTTTTGTAATGCATTTAAAATCTGAATGTTTCTTTGATAACTGAGTTGATAATTATTATTTTAGCCATATCCAAAATAAAGAGGTTAGTCGTTTGTTTTATCTTAAATGAGGTTCTGTGCTATCAGAAAATCTAGCTACCATTAGAGTGGCTAGGTACTTGGAAAATCAAACCCTACACTGCAATTAAGGGGAGATGCATTTAAATTCAAAAGGTTGCATCTTGTTATTTTTACTAGAAACTCTTTGTCTTTCAAATGCACGAAGTTCTAGTCTAAAATTATATACAGATTACAAAGAAATCTGTTGTGTCAAAACTCTCATTATGTGAGTTGTGAGACAACAATGTATATTTCTTTGGTATGTGTTTTAAGAGTACTCTTTAAATGCCCTTTTATAAAGGTATCCACTTTGGAAAAAGAGCTGCAGAAGCAGAAAGCATGTGCAGAAGATGAGTTGAGAAAGGTGGAGGAGAAACTTCGCCTAGCTGCTCAGGAAGCAGATTTAAACAGACACAAGGTGGATGAACTGAACTGTACAATCAGGTAAGTTCAGTGTAACTGGGAGATATATTCTGCAGACAGACACTGATCAGAAAGACTTGCGTAGTTACACACTTCAGTCTCTGTATGAGCATAGACTGGAAAGCAAAAGGGAAGCTTCTGATTAGCAAAGGCATGAGTTTCTGGCATGGTTTTCCAGTGGAATTAATGCATGTCCTAGCAACCTATTTAGCCTGAAGATGGCACTTCATAAATGTATCAACTTGCTTGTAATTGTACATAGTATATTCTAGGGGATCTTAGTCTCAAAGAACTAGTTTTGATTGCAAGAAAAGCCTACGCAACATGACTTTTTAATTTCTATTTTATCCACAAACACTTGTCTTAGAGCATTTAAGGACATCCATATGTTGCTTTTGTCATTACATGGTTCATTTTGTTCTGGTTGCTTCTGTTAGACAAATTAAACTGGAGGCGGATCAGTGCAAGAATAAACTTACTGGTATGGAAAGAGAAGTAGTGCAATTAAAACGAGATGGTGGAAACAAAGCAGAGCAGATAAATCAGTTGGATATCACTTTGGAAGAAGCACGATCAGAGCTCAATAAAAAGGCAAATGAGGGTAATTTGGATATTTTGTTTCTCCGACTTCCTTTCATTATGCTATTTCTCTATATGTATTAGACAGTTTTCCTTTTTCCCCGTTTCATAATCAAGTACATGAATCAAAAAATAACAACCTGTTTTTTAATGTGGTGGTAATTCCATGGTTAAAAACCCCCAAACAAAACCAAACCCAAACAAACAGCACACCCAGAACTCAAAAAAAATCACAAATTTTTTTTCACATCCCTTTGAGAATTCTCACTTTTGTGGTATATACCTTTACCCCAGGTGAAATGAGTAAGTAGTTTCCCTGGAAATTGGTAATGCAGATTCTTAATAAGGTAATCAAACAAGACACATAGATTTAATAAAGGTATATGCTATTCACAAAAATTCAGCTCTTTAAAACAAACAAAATGCCACAAGAGATGTTTCCTTGCTAATTTAATTGTGCCGTTTTTTAAAACCAGAGGAATAACAGCAATTCTGCTTGCATTTCTCGTAATGCTACATCTTTGGTTACTGCATTGTCTCTGTACTTTCTCCTTGGCCAGATGTTTTTAGATATATCCTTATAATACAAGTCAGTTGTAGATTATGAACTGAATAAAACCAGCAAATACTTAGGTGCCATAAAAAGGCTTTTATAGAAGAAGTCACTGCTTTTCTAGATTGTCCTAAAACCCAGTGATACTGAAAATTTACTATGACCACAAGTGCTGCTAGGTAGTGGTGTTATGCATAAAGACCCTAACATACTGATGATGAAACATTTTGTCTTTTGTGGTGTGTGTGTGTGTGTAAAATAGTGAACGGTTTAAAAGATAAGCTGCTTCAAAGTGAGACTTGCCACAGGGAAGCCTTACAGAAAATAGCAGAACTAGAATCCACATTACAGAATGCCTGTGAAGAATTAAAAGTCGCTTTAAATCAGATTCAGGAATTGCAAGATGCATTGCAGAACATACAGTCCTCTCTGGAGGAGAAGCACATTGCTATCACAGATCTAACAACTGAGCTCAGGTAAGCTGATGTGTTTTCCATCATCATTTTTCTTTGGGAATAGCAAGTAGCTTGCATGGGTTTTTTTAATGTCAGCAGCTCTCTAGAATTTTGATGTGGTTTGTGGCTGTGAGGTAACTTGACACTTGAGCTCCTTAGCTCACTTTTAATTTCGAAGTGATGCTGAATTCTTTTTTGGGAATTCTGTTTCAAAATCTGCTGGAATTATTTTCTGAATCCCAAAGCTGTGAAGTAATTGTAAGAAGACCAGTGAAATTGTCCAGTTTCCTTTCTGACCGTAAATTAATGATGCTTTCTTCTGTACTATACATTTTTAAGAATACATTGTCCTGATAGAGCCAATTAAACAACTTGAATAATGAAGTTCTTGGGAAATCTCCACCTGGAATATGGTTAACAGAATTATTCTATTTGGGTTTGTTTCTTTGCAATCAATTAGTTGATTCACATTTAGAGTCATATGGCTTTAAGTAAGTAACAGATCTCATAATTTTCAAGCTGGATACTCAAAGCTAAGAACTGAATGTGCATTTAGTAATTAAACATCTGGGAATTTCAGGTATTGCAAGAGGGAAATTGAAGACAAAAAGCAAGAACTCCTTGACATGGAGCAAGCATTGAAAGAAAGGAATTGGGAACTGAAACAAAGAGCAGCTCAGGTCAGATCATTTTTAGTATGTTACTGACAATTATTCCTGCTATGTAGTAGATAACTTATAAAAAGCCTCCAGGGTTTGACTGCTTTGACATATTGTCTCAAACTGTACTGTTCCTATAGCCACAGTGTCAAACCCAAATCCAGCTCTGTTATTGAAGCCTGAGGATACCAGGAACATCAGGTTGCTCTCCCCCAAGGGACCACAGATTACTGTTTCAATAGTGCAGAATTCTCCCACAATCCTGGCCCATAATTCTTCCTTAGTGATAAAGTTATAGGATAACTGTTGTCATTTTGATGTTTGCTTAGAGGAAGGAAAGATCTGCACTGAAGTGTGCATGGAGGTTATAGACTCCCTTCCTCGTTTGCACTGGAGCATGTTTGATTAGCACTAAAGCAGCCTCTAAATATGAAATAGTATCTCTGTGGTGAATTAATTTTTTTAGCTCACAGGGAATATTAGCAGAATTTTGGTCTGTATTCAGGACTTGATTTCCATCATGGAAAAATTCTTATTCTGTCACCTGTAATCAGCCTCTTCCTGCAGGAGTTACCAGCCTTTGTATTCAAGAATATTTGAGGTTCAGAGAGAAGTAGTAGTGGGGATTTGAATAACTCTGTTTAAGGAACTGACACTGGGAAGAGGCAGATCTTCCAATACATTCTTGCCATAATATTCTGTGAGCAGCTCCAGGAATTCATCAAAGCAGTTGATTAATTGATTGTTTTTTGGTTTGGCAGAATTTAGTAAATTCTAACAAGATGGATTAGTATAATAAACTCCTCATTATATTTCTGTTAAAATGTGATCTAGGGCTTGTATTCTGTGTGTATGAGGACTTAACATATTCATTTATGGACTTTTTCCCTGATTTTTCCCTTTGTTTTAGTGTTTGGCCACTATTTTTCAAATGAGATACCTTGGCTGCAGTTTTATATTGACTACTTGACAGAATAGTCTCAAGACTATAAAGGATTAATTTCATTCATTTTTCTGTCATAGTCTGTAATACTTCTTAAGATCTACATACTAGTTCAAAATGAAATATTTCCTTTTCTTCCTTTTTTACCTCTAGATTACACAGTTGGATATGACAGTTTGTGAGCACAGGGGACAAATGGAACAACAAATAATTGAATTAGAGTGCAATTTAAAGAAGGCAGAGTTTGAAATTAAGGAGTACCATAAACAGGTAATTCTTGCTTAATTAGAACTACAGTTTTCCTAACAAAGGGCAGCTAATTCTATGAGACAGTCTCTGTCCTGGGACACAGTAGCTAGCCAGGTTTAATTTAGAAGCTGAAAACTGGTTTCTTATTGCAGGGAGAGGGAAGGGAGCACCTTAACAATGTATGAGCAAAAATACTTTATTTGCCAGTTAAAACTAAAACTCTTTCAGGGTTATAACAGTGCAAAAATGAAAACTTACTTTTTCACTTGATATGATATAGCTCCCAAACTGCACTTTTAGTAAAGGAAAATGTTGGCAAAATGACAAGGGAATCCAAAGTCAGAGGTAATACTGATGGTATTTGTGAGTTTCATTTGGTTTGTGGGTTTGGGTTTTTAAAAACCATTCTGACTTGAGTAAAATATTAGTTCTGGTTTAATTGAACTTTCTATTCAGATTGAGAGCTTGGAGAAGAAACTCCAGCAGTCTAACTATGAGCTTCGTGAAAAAGAGTTTGCATTGCTCCAGAGAGATCAAGAAATAAATCAGCTGAAGAAAAAAAAATGATAGAGAACAAGATAGCCTAGAAGCTCTTGAAAAGGTAAAATGTGCCCTGGATACATGACAAATTATCAGTTTTCAATGCCATTACTGCACCTGCCTAGAAAGAGTGATACGGTGTCTCTTTAGCATAAGTGTCTCTCCTTCTCCCAGAATCATTCTATTTTATATCCTGGTGTTTGCTGAATCTTAATCCCCCAAAGTTAAATCGGTTTAATGATTTAAAAATTACACATGTAATGGCACACTCTTGTTTGCTTTCTGTGGAGAAATTTGAATATTGATTCTTTAGTAACCTGATTTTCTGGCTATGGGCTTCCTTGTAAATGAAGTGAAACACTATGCTGTGTGATGAGAGGTCCTTATGACTTAGGTTACCTCTCTTGTGAAAGCTAGTACATCAAAAGAGCACTGAGATCCAGCATACTTACAGGAACAAGAAGTGGGATTTCTTTGGCATTGGGAATGGGAGTGTATGGATGGAATAGAGAAGATAGCTAACTTGAGGAATTATACAAGTCTTCAGTTTGGTGCATGAATCAGTCACTACAAGTGCGATCTGAGATAAACAGGCTTTCTGCAGAATAAGTTCAGTCAAAGATGTTTGCCAGCTAGAGGTCAACACCAAAGCTAAAATGGCTCCAGCCACTTTGGTTACACTGCATTTGTGTGTTTCTTT